GATTTATCTTAAGTACTTTTGTTACTGGACTTGGTCATCATCACAATGGGAAGTAGATTTCAGGGGGAAGAACATGAATGTTTGTGTTGCATAACCCTCCTAAGAGGTAGATCCTCCAGTGCTGGCAGGCTCTCAGAATCAATATGTGCAGAATCTTTGTGTGAACATGTTTCTTCATCTGTAAAGTGTGGACATCATCTGGATTATACTGAAAGTGACTGAACTTTTCTCTCTTTTCCAGCCCAATTCCTACTTGAGATAATATCCATGATTTGAACTCAAGAGTAAATCCCAGACTGACACTCTTTGCTGAAAATTCTTCAGCACTAATTCCCAAATCCTGAGGATAACAGTCAAATCTGTGTTTATATTTAGAGTCTGTGCCATTTAATTTAGCTAGTTCCTGTGTCGGTATTCTGTGTCAGTATTCTGTGTCTGCTTGCCTGACACACTAGGGAGAAGCTGTGAGCACACTGTATTACCTACCAAAAATGCAACGTATGTTGCCTCTCCCAGTCAGCCTAATTAATTTACACAGACAAACCTCAATTCTGCCATTCACTAGCATTTCTGTTTACGATGAAACCTTGTCCTCTTAATAATTCCTATGGGATGAGGATACTTTGTTTTTACTCTTAATTTAATTTTTGAGCATGGGACTCATGTCAAGTATTCTGGTGTATTTTCAGATGTATTTCAAAGTTGTCAACAATAAGAATTCATATTGTGCTTCAGACAATAGAAAAAATAATGCTAGACTCTTCACTACCACCAAAAATCATGAGTTATACATGAGATATATATTATCAGACAATAGAAAAAATAATGGTAGACTCTTCACTACCACCAAAAATCATGAGATATACATTACTAAATAGCCAGAATTGCTTCAGTTTTATTGATTTACACATACGTTGTAGTAACGAGTTATCAATGATATTGTTTGAGAATTGTTCATGCAAGTGAGAATCAAAGTTTATTTATTTTCATCTTTTCTATATTTCAAATGTTAACCAAATCTCCCAAGCATGAAAATATGTTCTAGCCAAAATTACAAATTTCTTCATATAATACTAAAAACAATTATTTAATAAAGAAAGGCAAAAGAAATTCTCAAAAAAGTTTCTGTCTAGCTGCCTCTCAATATAATTAAATATAACATAGATGAAGATTTTCTTTGATCACACATGCAGATATTATATATGAATATTAAATAAATTTACCTTTATATATTCTCCACATTGTGATATCTTACTATTTAAATAATATAAAAATAATATGGGCTGGGAAAGTGGCTCAGTGGTAGAGTGCTTGCCTCACATGCATGAGGCCCTAGGTTCAATTCCTCAGCATCACATAAACAGAAAAAGCCAGAAGTGGCACTGTGGCTTAAGTGGTACAGTGCTAGCCTTGAGCTGAAGAGTTCTGCGACAGCCCTCAGGTCCACAGTTCAAGCCCCACAGCTAACAAAAACAAAACAAAATGGAACAAAATAATGCACAGCTCATTGTGATATTTCTTATTTTAAGCTTTTAAACATTAAACGTTAGCTTATTAAATAGCTATGTTGTTGGTATCAATTCATTAACAATGCAGATTAATGAAATATTCTCAGGAAATATAATAATGGGTGCAATAGTATGAACAGGCCAAGGGTACCCAAGGCAGAAACACCTAATGCTACATGCTTGAATGAATGACTGCTTCATGGAAGATACATTCTTTGGGGTGGGTCTTTAAGGGAACATTTTCCAAAGGGCAAGTTCAAAGCAAACCACACTGATACACACAAATAATTACCTGGGCAAGAGGAAGCACATTATTTGCATGTAGTTCAGACCACCAAGGCCAAATTATAACAATGTACACAGATGAACTTTGTCCTTCTAGGACTTTAATCACAGAAATGAAAATTACTTTGTTTCCATAGTTTGAGGCAAAATCTTTCTATGGATTTCTGTGGGTGAATGTTATTTATTTCTAGATGCAGGCCTGACGCAGAGTATTATCGATACTAATTTGTATGGCATGAAAAGGTACTTCATACAGAAATAGTCTATTGTTCCCTGAGATAAATAGATCAAACTTCCCCTTCACCAAATTGATTCTTTTGTTTTTGATACTAGTGTAATATTTTACACAAAATCTGCCACAGTATTCCAGTAAATAAGAATGTGGGATAAGAAAAGAATCACTGCACTGGTTGAAGGTGTTTAATACTTGAATAGTGAAGTGAGCATGCTAGTTACATCTCTGAGAGGGTTACCACATTAAGTCAGGATTAGCCAATCTAGTGTTTAGTAGAACCTATAAGTTTCCTCTGCAAACATAGAAATAGGAAAGAGCAAATGAAAAATCATATTGGGATTGTCATTTTATGTCTACATACATATATTTATGTATGAAAATATATGTGTGTACATATTAAAGATATAAATATATGAATTTGTAAATATATGTATTTAATTTTAGGTTTCCTATTGCTATAAATTGACTGGGAAAGAAATAAAAATATTATAAGTTTACCCATGCTAGCATTTACATAACTTTTGCCAATTCAAGGATATTACATGCAGTTAGACTCTAGGTTATTCTGTGATTTGGAGTGATAAGTAAGTAATTACATGAAGCACTAACTAAGAGTTTTCATCAGATAGAGTCCAGGCACTTCTAATTGGAACTAGTGTGTTGGTATTAATATAGAAGTGAGAATTCATACATAAAAAAATCAATTTAAATTAAGTGTCAAATATTCTACACAAGAAAGAATTTGCATGAATATGCATGGAAGTATGAATGTATTTGACTAAATTAAATGAAATTAAATAGAAAATCTTAGAATAGCCTTCAGCTTCTCATTTGTTATCTTTCTTTTACCTTTGAAACATTTGAATCAAAAATATTTCCTTAAAATTGTATAACGTAATTTTGGAAAAATGATAGAGATAATTTACACGCTTAATGAGGAGATGTAAATAAAATTCAGTCATACTCATGCTAAGGTTTCTAAATGTTTTAGCATATGTTAACTCCCGTGCTGAAATAATTTTCAGAAAGTCAGTGATAGAATCTGAACTTGAAGAAGGTTCATTTCAGAAGTACACTTAATGTTATTTAATAATGAAAATGATTTTTGAAAATATAATCTTTTTCAAAAGATACATTTTCTGAACATGGTGTTTTTTTTTTTTACAGCATCTCATTTCTTTTCAGAACATTTCGAAAAAAAAACCCTACTATATTTAAATAGGTTAATGTGTAAGAATAAGAAAAATAATCATTTTATCCTATCCTTAAAATTAAACGCAGAGATTCCACTGTACTACACTTTTCTCTCATGCTTTAAAAATTTATCTTTTCTCTTCTACCAAAACTCATGGCAATAATATCAACAAACAGAGACACAAAAATGAAAAGACACATTTACCTTATTGCACATTTTCTTCAAAAGTCAAAAACGATTTTGTATAACAAAAATGTAGGGAAAAAAGCATTTTATTTTCCAACATTTATTTTTTGCCTGAAATCCTAGGGTTTTTATATGAACATGTCATTACACCCACAGAAAGGGAGTGGTTCAAATTATTCCAACATGTTTTCAAAGAAAATCACCTGCCAAGAAGGATGTCGGCAAGATCTGTACTGAAGGAATTGTAAAAAGCTTGTGTCATGACTGAGCATAAGTAATGCACCAACCCTTAAACTTTGAGACTCAAGTAGAATACCTAATGTCAAAAGCTGCCCTGAAGAATCACCTACAGGATATTGTATAGTGTTTATATCTCAGTGTATGGAGAAGAAAATAAAAAGGAATAAGTCTGTCAACAGCCCCGGGGCAACTGTATTTTGAATCATTGTCACAATAAGCATATCTCCACTAGGAAGACAATATATCCAGGAACAACACAGAACTACACTATCACTAGATATCAGTGTAAATCAAGAGAGGAGACAGAATTAAAAATAGAAGTATAGATGGGTAAGAGAAAGAATAGTTCTCATTCATATAGTTCACAAAGAGGTACTCATGTATAAATCTCAGCTATATTTATCCAGAGTCACTATTAAGATAATTCTGAGTACATTTATTATATAAATTGTCCACATATCTGTATTCTCACAAAACTATAACTATAAAGCCAGGGCTACTAAATAATGGAAGAGTGTTTATATTTCTGTAACACAAAGTAGGGAAGATTTTTATCCTCCCTGTCCATGCAATGATAGTATGACTGAAACACACAAAAACAAAAACCTTAGCGCAGAAAGATGCCATTTGAGGGTAAATATGAAGTAGAACCTGATTTAGTTTAGACTTAACTATTTTCTAGATGAGAACTGATTTAGTCCCAGGAATTGAAACATAATTAGCAGGCCATAGCTTTTGTAGCTCACATTTTTATGTTATAGATCATTTTGTCTATTTAATAACACAGAAAATCTTCCCTCTTAATGAGTTTTTACTGTATACTAAATAAAAAGTATACCAAATATGGTACTTAGCTTTTTATATTATCAATTGCTTGCACATTACATATACACAAAATTAAATTAAACAATTATCTCAAGCTATGTACATGAAATACAGCACATTTTTTTCTTTAGCCCAGAGGACTTAGTTTGCAAAGTTCCCTGAAATGTCTTTTAATTCTACTCTGTGATACACAAGAATGTACCAGCAACGTTCACCATATTAGAGCCATAAATAACATCAGGAGACACAACATAGCCTATAAACTTCCCAGGATGATACTGTAGGGGATTTTAAACCTCGGAGGAAAATAAAGTTCTCACTGGTATTTTGCTTGAATTCTCTGAGAACTACTGCCATTCTATTCCACATTTGCAAACAGATTAAACTCACGTGCACAGTATTCATTCCATGCATCCTTGTCGGTCCTTTCCACACTTTTCAGCTTCCCTTTCTTTATATTTCTCTTTATTAAAAGTTTGAATTATACATTAACTTCCTTAGAAGAAGCCATGTAAAGCACACTTACTTGAAAAGTGTAAAACCGGGTCCCATTAGGAGGATGCACTTTAGGGGAGCCAGAAACGGTGTTCATATCCGAGAAAATCATTTCTGATCACAGAGACAATGTAATCCACAAGGAGCTACAGATGCAGAGCAGAGAGCTTAGCGTAGAGATAAATCCGTGCATGCATTCAGGGAGACTGGAGGGGAAAATGAAATCTGCCCCATCCTTCTTAGATACACAGTGATAGCATTTTGAATCTGTCTCCTACATTTGAAATCTAAGCTGAAAGGGTATCAGCCACCAACCTTTTGTGCCGTTAGTTCCTTAAACCATACAATGATTCTTTTAAAAAATTAAAAACACAGAAGGGGGGAAAAGAACCAACGATAAATGGAGCTTGTGCAGAATCTGGCAGTGCCGTGGACCTGCCCATCTGTTCTCAGTGATAATCACCTCCCTCCACCACAGTCTCGCAGAGTGATTATGCTAAACATCCTGGTTAGCCAATAACATACAGTTTCATTTCAGGGAAGCATGAACAGTGTAATTCCGGGGACCTCTTCTGACTAACCTGAAGCATGTTCACTTGCTGCTAAAAGCTACATTTGGTAACAAATGATTGTTGTATCACTGTTATTTCTGTGCATGTCTGGGACTCTCTGTCACCCCCAGGCTTCTAAATGAAAGGATTTTAATCATAAAGCCTTTTTAAATAAGTATTTTATAATTTACAGATCAAAGTATAATATAAAAGCAGGAACACTGAGGGGAAATACATAGAGTTCTATAAGGCTTTATATGTCAGACTACTAACAAATGCAATGTGCAAACATAATTCACTTTCAAGGAACATCATCAATATAAACTTAATCATGATCTCCAATTTTCCCTACCTTAGCTGGAAAATTAAGTTTGACAATCAAGACCTAAACTAGTGGTACAAAATGTTTTGATTAATCTCATATCATACATGTACACAAATTTGAATCTGGAGTCCAGATTCAAAAATACTGCTTGTAAATATTGAAGTGTTTTGCAAATCACACTTTTTTCTCTATGTCTTTAACAAATTATTCAGTCTGTATAAACGATAATATTCAGATGACTCAACAACTTCTAGAGGTAAAAATAAATGTTCCATTTACACATGGTTCAAAGGTGGAGACTTCAGGAAGATAGAAAACAGTATGAGTCCACAAAGTATCTTTGCAAATGTATCTAACTTGACATAGTTATACATAACCAAGGACCAAGAACCACCTGCTTTAAACCTGGAAGCTATAAAAGGATAGTGAAAGTTCTTAATACTCAAATTGTTATTCATTTTTAGTTTAGATTTCCCAATTATCTTCAAATTTATAATACCAAGGGGGAGGATATAAAACAGTTCTCAATTTCTTAGATGGGGCTCCTACATTTGGGTAAACTATGTGTATTAGTTTACTTATTTAACAAGATAATATTAACTAGAGCAGAAAAATATTATAAGTATATTTTATATTGAAGATAATTGTAATTACAGAGAAACAGTGAATATTTTTTGCAAAAGCTCCCATTCAGTTTCCTCAATTGTTAACATCTTGTACGTCCCATGGTACAGTTATAAAGGTGAAAAAACTGAGATTAGTATATTAATCCAACTCCAGACTTAGGATAGACTTGGGTTTTCCCTTCGTGTGCTGTTTCTCTTCCGGCTCTAACCCAGTGTAGTACCTTCATTTGGTTGTCATGACTTTATGGTTTCCTCTGGCTGTGATAGTTACCCAGTTATCATCATCATCATCATCATCATCATCATCATCATCATCATCATCATCATCATCTTTCAGATGGTTTTTAAAAGTACTTGAATAGTCCTATACGATATCACATAATCTTATTCTACTATTGTGCATGTTTTCTGGATGTTTCCTCATACTTAAACTAAGAATACAGGTGTTGGGGAAGAATACACAGGTGGACTCATCATTTATATCTTTATCATTGATGACTTTAATCCATTTTGACTAAGAGAGTCTTTACCAGTTTTGTTTTTTGTACAGTTGCCATTTTTTCTTTTCCTAAGCTCTTCTTTGGAATTAGTCACTAAAACACACAACAGAAAATTAACCAGTAATGAAAGTAAGCTCTAGTTCTTGGAGAGATTCTATTTTTTGTTGATATTTCTGTGTAATCCTTGATATCAGTATAGACTCAGATTTTATCCCTTCAGCTACGATTTAAATACTGAATAATTTCCTTTGCAATTCCTACTGTCTCAGTGTTGGTCACTTTCTCAATACCAAAGTTTCTCATTTCTCATGTTACATGATAGAATAAATTTGAAAAAGTTTCACAGTTTAACATTAGACATATAGACTATTTATAAATCATGCTCATTTCACTAAAAAAAAAATTCCTGGGTGCTGGGAAGGTGGCTCAGTGGTAGAGTTCTTGCTTTGCATGCATGAGGCCCTGGGTTCAATTCCTTAGTACCATATAAGCAAAAAAGAAAAAAGCCAGAAGCGGCGCTGTGGCTCAAGTGGTAGAGCACTAGCCTTGAGCTGAAGATCTCAGGGACAGAGCCCAGGCCCAGAGTTCAGGCCCCATGACTGGACCTCCCCCCAAAAAATAAATTAAATAAACAAAATTAAATTAAATGCCTATGTATCACACACACACACACACACACACACACACACACACACACACACTGGCCTGGGGAATGGTATACTTTATGTATGAAAAACTGATGTTTAATGAAGTAGAATAACTTGCTCAAGAACAGTGATTATTCTAACTAAAACAGAAAAAAGTATCTCTTTCTTCATCTTTTCCCAACATACATTAGTTCATTTGTTCAACTGTGCATAAATCAAGACTAAACATCAACTGCCTTTAATTTAATAATTTAATAATCAACTGACTAGTATTGTCCCCAGGTCCTAATAGTACAATTAGAATTTTGATAAAACCTTGTTTATTATATTATTTATTTAGATTATAGATTATAATCTTATAGATTATAATCTATAATCTTATAGATTATAATCTTATAGATTATAATCTATAATCTTATAGATTATAACATATATTTATTTATTTATTTATTTGGGGTCCGGTTGTGGGGCCTGAACTCTGGGCCTGGATGCTGTCCCTCAGCAATTCAGCTCAAAGCTAGCACTCTACCACTTGAGCCACAGCGCCACTTCCAGCTTTTTTTCTTTTTGCTTATGTGGTGCTGAGGAATGGAACCCAGGGCCTCATACATGCAAGGCAAGCGTTCTACCACTGAGCCACCTTCCCAGCCCCACATAAATTTAATATATGTTACCTTATATTATACTTTAGTATATTAAAATAAATTGTAATGTACAATTTTGATTTATAAATAAAGTTAAAGTTGGTGAGAAAAGTATCAACTAACAATAGGAACTTAAGTAGCAAATCCAACACAACACAATTTACTAAGTGCTAAAAGGCTTATACTAAATTAACTCATGTGTCAATCTCAAAAGACTTTTACTGGAAGACTATTTCAAAATGGCCTAGTAAAAGTGAAAGGTGTTCCAAGAAAAGAATCAGTGTTCAAATAATTACACAATGGCATGGGATGACTGGAAAATATGGTTGAATACATTTCAGGGAAGAAGAGCTAACTGATTATATACAAATATTTATACATAAACATTTTCCAAGTGAAATTTGCAAAATACTTTATTTCTACACAATTAACCAAAACTAGAATATTATTGTCTGAAAAAAAAAAAAAAACTAGGACCAGGTGACAGTAGCTCATACCTATAATCTTAGATACTCAAAGGCTGTGATCTGTGTAATGTAATTCAAAGCCAGCTCAGAGAGGAAAGTTCCTGAGACTCTTATCTCCAGTAGCTACCAATCTGGTATCTATCTCCAATAGCTATCATAAAGCTGGAATTGGAGCTGTGATTCAAGTGGTAAACCACTAGACTTAAAAAACGAAGCTCAGAGACACCCTGAGTTTAAAACCCAGGACTAACACACACACACACACACACACACACACACACACACACACACACAGAGTCTGAAAATAGAGTCATATTTTCAAACTTTTGACTAGTATATTTTGATAGTTTCCCTTAGGTTGCCAAATACCTTTCCAAGACTATTTTAGGTTGTCAACAAACTTTAGCCATACCTTAATTGCTTTCAATTTCTAGCACTATCATTTCAAATATTAACTTGAAAGTAAAATATATAAAACAATATTATGTGTATACATAATTAATCACTAGTTTCCAGCAGCATTAACTATATGAAAGGAAAAGAATGTGCTTATTTTGGTTGCTACAAAGACCAACACAAAAATAAAAATCTCTCAGGATATGCAAAGGGAAGAAAAGTAAATATAAACTCCAGAAGTTTAAAGCTAGCTTGCTCAAACACTTGACGTTTTACAGAAATCAATTGAAAATGGAAAATTGAAAGGATGACTCAATTATACTTTCTAAGCAATAGATAATATAAAAATTCTAGCCAGATTCTCCTTTTTAATAGACTTACAAAGAAAACTCCCAGAAGCCATCCAGTCCATCCTATTCCTCTGGGAATAACTGCTCTTAAACCTTCTAGCCAGGCAGCAGTGGCTTACTCCTGTAATTCTAGCTATTCAGGAGGCTGAGATCTGAGGATCGCAGTTCAAAGCCAGCCCGGGCAGGAAAGTCTGTGAGACTCTTATTTCCAATAAAACCACTAGAAAACCGGAAGTGCTGCTGTTGCTCAAGTGGTAGAGCACTAGCCTTGAGCTGAAGAGCTGAGGGACAGCGCCCAGGCCCAGAGTTCAAGCCCCACGACCGGACAGAAAAAAAAAACTTTTAAAATGAATATTATCAGCTCAGATATAGAAGACAAACAATAGAGCCTCTGATTTTATATGCTGTCAGTATAAACATGCAACTCAAAAATTTTTATAACCCTACAAAATAATTTTGTTGTAAGAAATAGTTGTAAGGCATATCCTGCTTCAAGAAAAGCAATTGGACAGTAGGTATGTTCATTGAGTTATAAGCTCAAAAGTTGGCTTCAGTGAGGGGGACTTAGGGAAGTGAAAGGAATGAACTAGAAAGGCTAATTGCTTC